AATATGCACCTTATGCGTAGAAGCCATCGCAAGCTATGGCTACCAATCGTCAGCTATGGATGGAGCCTAATGGAGGTCATGGTTGAAGAATTGAAAAATGTTTTAAAAAACCTCTGAGAACTTATTGTACATATTTCGGCTGAGTAAGCGTTGTCATGACCTCTTCAACCAAATGGATATGGAAAACATATGTACAGATACATCATGATACAATAGAACCCAAGAAACCAAATCAAATACTCATCAATATTACAGGAAATCGATTTCTTAAGCCATGTTTCAGAGCTTTATTATTGTATTATTGTTAACATAGGCGCTTTGAGATTGAGAAAAAATTCAACTCATTCTTTGCTAATGGAGGTCATGGTCCAGTGTGGCGCGGGTATAGGGCTTTCGGTACTCTCTGTCGCGCAGCCTACTTCTGCCAATTAGGTTATCTCCATAATCCATTAGCATCGGATTCAGATCGGCCAATTACAACGTTTATAAACGCAATAAGGATCGGTCGATCGGGCGTGTGGTGGCTGCGTTGCGGCCCTCTTGTTGAGTATCGATTCAGCGTAATTCGGCTGTATCCCAGCTTTTCCGTCCTTTTTTCTCAAACTTTGACCTGCTCTCTTTCTGTCAGAAGCAAGTGTGCCGGAATTAGTATGAACCCCAGCCAAAATGGTAGACCGCGACGCCGCAACGCGAACGCTGCGCACCCTCTATCGGCCAATCCTGTAATTAAGCGTTATAGGGATCGACCTATCTGCATTGGCGACCCTATGGAGATACCTTAGGCGCAATAAGGATTGGCCGGTCGAGCACGGTTGCGTTGCGGCAAAATATATCAGCCGAACTTCAGCCCCGCTTCTAAATATATCACGTTTTTTTTATTCAGAATTGGGCTTGATTTCCTTCTATAAGCACGTTAACATTTTCGGGGCCTATGCGGAACAAGTGCACCAGCACGGTGCGTTGCCACAAAGGATGACTTTTTAGCCATATATTGAACCCCAAATCAAGTTGTGTTTCGTATAAGTTCTCATATCTCACATCGAATCAATACCTTAATTTCAACATTTATTGTTATAGTAATTTCAAAGCTGATAAAACCAACTTTATTAACCCATTTTCAATATTTGAAATTCTCTCATAGAGAATTTGAAAATTGTTGGAAAACTGATGAAAAGTCTTGAAAGTTTCAAAAAACAACGGTAAAATGTACTTTTGGTCGTACACCTTACTCATTATTATGCAGTTCAAATAAATATGGCTAAACTATCACCGCTTCATAGCCACGCAACTCACTGGCGCACTTGTTCCACAACGATTGCAGATCGACTCCTGCAAACCCTAGCGTTGCTTGAACAAGAAACAAACTAAATTCTATAGGAGAAAGTGCAGCATAGCTAAAATTTGGACTGAATTCTAACTAATGTTAATCGCCGCAACGCAACTGTGCCACACCCTCGATCGGCCTATATTCCTTACGCTTATAAGCGTTGTAAGAACCGACCAATATAAATCGGGATCCTTATGAAATCTGGAAATACCTTGGTGGGTCTGAGAATAACATCAAGGACGCAAACGAAAGCGGGCGGAGCGAAAAGACAGTAGGAAAAGGTCATCCCTCGCTGTGCAACTACAGTATTACTATTAAACGGATGCGTGTCATTACTTGTGACTGTCAGCAATAAGGCGCTGGACGCGCGACCATAATAGCCGCACGATTATCGTTGGTGCAGCGACTCACAAGTAATGACCGTCCCCTAATCATTACATTTGATCGCTATCAACCAAATCAAAAACAAGCTTTGCCTTTAGATCAACAGGAGAAGAAAGGCAAAAATATTGTGTCTAGAGACTGCAAAAATTAAAGGAGTAAAGAAGCGAGCAACGGCTCAGGTCGAACTCGCAATAAACGTAGACTTCTTAATTTATCTGCACCTCCCGCGGTGTTAACTGTAATGGATGAGCAAAGATGGAATTCAAGGAAGGTGAGAATGGGAAAAAATACCTTTGCACACTTTATCTGTCCTGGTGTTTTCTTAGCCAGAGGGGTGTCAGAGGAGCTCTGCAAAAAGCAAACAAGATCTGGATAATGAAATGCCATATTGTTAAAAGCTACGTTTTCTGTCTTTGCGATATCTGGGGCCACACGAGGTGGTACTTTCGCTATCGTTCGCTGATCCATTCTAGAGCGTTTTTGTGGAATGTCCTCAAAAGAGGTGTCCGATTCTTCCGTTTTAACAATGGAGCCGACAGAACCGCGCACCTCAAGCATACCTGCAAGCTTAGAAGAAGGATTACTCAAGCTTGAAAATTTTCATATATTATCTAATAAAATAATCACTTGCTCTCGATGTCCTGCTAGTACTCGACGCGTCACTGTAAAGGCGACTCCTTCTTTCATTCGCAACTATTACGTCCCTACCGCGAGGAATTTCAATGCCCTCCTATAAAAAAATTTTTATAGCTAAAATTGCCTTCCTCGTGTTAGTACCGCAAATTGAATAAGAAAGGAGAACCTGCTGAGCAACAATTTCGGTAATGTGTTCCATGGTGTTATTGGAATAGCGGGGATCATCGTCAGCTGCTTGATAGTCACTAACTCGACTGAGAGATCCGTTTAATGCGCTGTGCCCCATCGAATCACGTTGTCTGAGTCCGTCGACAAATATGCTCCGCACCGCCACCGATGCCCTACAGTGGGATAATCAAGTTAG